ACCTTGTGGCTAATAGCTACTGATGGACCTCTGCTCCATACGCTTATCTAATTCCCTTTTGAAGCTGTCCATGCTTGTAGCCGCTGTTTGGAAGGCGTATTAGACAGATTGACATAGAGACAGTAGAGTTGTTAAATAGCTCTAACCAGAGCCAGAGTCCTGTTAACCTTCTACAGTCCTAGAATACCAAGAATACTACCTCAGAGCAAGACCTGGCTGAGGGGCAGAGGCATTCTATCAACTCGTGTCTTCAAAGATATAATTACAGCACCATTGTTGCCTCAGATATTTCGTCTACCAAGTTATCACTTTACAGAATCACCTCCTCTGGGAACACAGTGTCCCAATGTTCAAACCACCCATAGAGAGATTCTGCCAGTGATAATAGATCTCTGGATGCTGTAACGTTGGCACTTCCTGTGGCAGTGAATTCCATGTGTTTGAGATTCATGAATATTGAGAGGTTTAACATTGAATTTTGTAGAAACAAAAGTTGTAAGTCCAGCTTGAGGGTGACCCTTGCATCTAGTCCTTGTTGCAGGCAGAGAAACGGATTTGTACCCCATAATATATCGGGGAGGTGGACCAGGTTTCTTGAAGAAGAAGAAGAATATCATGTGTGTTCTAAGGTAACTTAAAAATTCATGATCGTTGGCTTTACTTCTCCCGCCTGCAATGTTCCAAGAGACTATTTTGGTCCTCTGAGATGGTGAGTTATTTAGTCAATCCATCTCTGTAAGTTGGTTCAAGGATCCATTAGTATAAAAAAATAACACAACCATTGTCAATATCCAAAGTATGGGTCTGCACATTTGCTAAGGAAGACAAATTATGGTGGGAGGTCTCACTGTCCCTGCAGTCATTCATTGGAACAGAGAGTATGATAACATCACAGTTGGTATTGGTTACTGTTGTATTCAACCAGTCTGCAGCAACATCTCTAAAGAGTGTAGATTCCCTAGCTTCGGACTGTAGACCTGTGCAGAGTCTTAAATTTCCATGCACCTTCCTTGAAAGCATTGACTTGGGTTCCACTACAGGGTTTGAAAGAGCCTTTTGGCCAGCTGTTAAGGGAAAATTTAAAGGTGCCAACGTTACAGCATCCAGAGATCTATTATCACTGGCAGAATCTCTCTATGGGTGGTTTGAACATTGGGACACTGTGTTCCCAGAGGAGGTGATTCTGTAGAGTGATAACTTGGTAGACGAAATATCTGAGGCAACAATGGTGCTGTAATTATATCTTTGAAGACACGAGTTGATAGAATGCCTCTGCCCCTCAGCCAGGTCTTGCTCTGAGGTAGTATTCTTGGTATTCTAGGACTGTAGAAGGTTAACAGGACTCTGGCTCTGGTTAGAGCTATTTAACAACTCTACTGTCTCTATGTCAATCTGTCTAATACATCTTCCAAACAGTAATTAACACAGCAATGGTGCTCAACCTGAATAAAGAGTAGATAAAGGTTTATTTAGGAACTAATATACTTGGTAGGAAAGAGGAGGGCAGAGATAGGGTCCTAACTACATCTCCAGCTGAGAGAGAGAGGGGACACTGAATGTGGCACTTCTGCGAAGGGGAGATTGCCCTAAGAGTAGCAATTTGGAGACAAACAAGGAATGACAATGGGAGAGAGAAGGTGCTGACCTCACTGTCCTATCAAATTGTCTCCTTGCTGCCCCCTTCAGGGTCTTCTCCTCTTCTTCTTTGTACACCAGACATTGTCTTTTCCGACAAGAACAAAGGTGGGAGTCAGGTCATCCACCCCAGCTGAGAGAGGGTTCAGCCTATCAGGATTACAATCTGTGTTTTGTGCCTTCCAGTCTCCCGCAGCCTTTCCAAGGGGAATACCTGGGTCTGAAAGAGAACCCCAAGTATCGCAAGCTCCAATCCACCGCTGATGGCAAGCTGGTGATGGCGGACAATGTGAGGAAAGTCAACCGGGGAGACGGGAAGGTGAGAAATGTCTTCTCACCAGGCGTTTGGATATCCGAGTCATCATCTTTTTTCACAATACAGAAATTAATATTTTTATGCATATCTTCCCAAGTATGTAGAAACCTGTACCTTGTTTGTGGATAGACTGTTCTCGCTGCTTTCTTGACTGATTGGCATGAGTCATCTACATGACTATCAAGTACAGCATATAAACAATGATAGTTCAATGGGGCTGGAGGAGAGCTTTACGGATACCGTGGACTGCCAAAACAAACAAACAACAAAACAAATACGTGGATTCCTGATCAGAACAAGTCTGAATTCTCCTTAGAAATGATTAAACTGAGACTATTGTACTTTGGTCACATTATGAGAAGAGTCACTGGAAAAGACAATAATGCTAGGGAAAGTGGAAGGCAGCAGGAAAAGAGGAAGATCCAAGATGAGATGGATGGACTCTATAAAGGAAACCGTGTCTTTCAGTTTGACAGACCTGAGCAAGACTGTTGAAGTTAGGATGTTTCAGAGGACATTAATCCATAAGGTGGCCAAAAGTCGGAAGTGACTTGATGGCACATAACACACATGTTCAGAAGCCAAATGCTCAGAATGTATGGTGCTGCTGCCAGAAAAGAAAGGGTGACCTCTTGTCATTCCACAGTTCCAAATGTTTGGCGTTTGCCGAGCCCGCTTAAGACTCACTGGTCCTGACAAATAAATCCTCCACATTCAAGAGGCAATGTCCCTGACTGCCAGATGCTAGGGAGGATTGCTGCCATTATCCTTTACTTGTAAATTTCTTAGAAGCATCAGATTGCTCCCCGACACCGTCTGTGCCCTTGTGTCTCTGTGGCTCCTTGGTATAATAAGAGTCTAAGAGGTTTTAAGAGGTTGCTCAGATGGCTAGAGCAGAACTGGCGATGAACACGGGACGAAGCTGTGAGGAACACACTATAGACTAGATAAACCTTTGGTTTTGATTCAGAAGGCCTCATTATTCTTAAGACCTTGCCATGGTGGGAAAGTGCCATCAAGTTGCAGGCGATATGGTGACCCTGCAGGGTTTTCAAAGCAAGAGATGTTCAGAGGTGGTTTGCCATTGCTTGCCTCTGCATCGCGATCCTGGACTTCCTTGGTGGTCTCCCATCCAAATACTAACCAGGGCGAAGCCTGCTTAGCTTCCAAAATCTGACAAGATTGGCCTAGCCTGGGCCATGCAGGTCAGGGCAAGACCTTGCCGTAAGATGTTCAAAATGGCCTCTCCTTCCTGCGAGTGACCGAGGAACTTTCCAGTCTCTCTCTCAATCTCTCTCATTTGTTCCTTGTCTCTGTCAGGCCTCTCCTAGACTCTTCCTTCTCACCAAGAGTCATGTGATCCTGGCTGATCCCAAGGCAGCTCAGCCCAAAACCGTTATCACCTTGAGCGACATTGACTATGTCTCCGTCAGCCGCTACTCAGATGGGTTCTTCGTTTTGCACCTTAAAGAGGTACTGGATGGGGAGATGGTGGGCCCTGGGCAGGGAATTGGGACATGGTAGAAAGACGCTGGAAGTCAGTTTGCTATCCTTTGCCTCTCTTTGAAACTCCTTTGGCAGGGTTAGGCTATATGATGTTACACCATGTTTGTTTTTCAGATGTTACTTGCTGCCACAGCTGAAATGTTTTTATTTGGGGGGGGGGGCAGAACCAGAATTGTGGAAATCATACCTGAAATTCTGAATTTTCACATTTAGCTTTTTAAAGACTGGGTCTGAGGAACACTTTAAAAAAATTATCTGATACATTCTCAGCAGATGATGTTTCACCATCTGTCTTTTTAATAGGTTAATCAGTAGGTTGTGGAGAATTCTTCCTTCATTCACTGTGCTCCTCCAGCCCCTCCTCTACGTCATTTTTATGCTAACTAGATTTTATTTCCCATCTCAGAGGCCAGTTTAAGAGAAAACCGGGACAGGAGTATCTTTTTCCACCACCCCCACTTGAAAACTGACCTTCCCCTTCCCAGTGATATAATTATCTGATGACATCTGTATTTCGAGGTTCATCACATCTGTTTCCCTCCCTCTGTCCCTCATTGGCACACTTTGCAACAATCAAGATTTGCGAGATTGCTGCACTCACCAACATTCCTAGTCTCTGGGCTGGATCCAGGAAGTTCTGTTCCATTGATGGAAGTGGCGTCCATCAGTGGAAAATTTAGACTGGATCCAACCCTGCCTTCCTACTGCCCATCCCTCCGGCCCAAAGACTGCCAGAGTTGAAAAGACCATCACATTACAACAAGTCATTGACTTCATTTGTCATCTACCTTTCTCACTGAGACTCAAGATGGGTTAGTATAATACATACAACCCACAGCATTAGAGAACCCTGCCCTAGAAACACAATATGGGTAATAAAGCAGGAATTACAAGGCTATGGAACAATGCGGTGAAACATTATATTATGTACAATCAAGAATGTAATAACGCTGGATTGAGAGTCATGAAAATTGCAGACTCCAAGACCAAGGCTGACCAAAGGGCATGGAAATTGACACAGGTACAGGTGTGACCAGCACCTGCAGATGGGTTGGCTGGCTTCCGGCTGCATTAGGGAGCAGTGGTGGGTGTCACACATAGGTCTGCAGGGTCATGGTTCAGTTAATAAGGTGGTCAATTAAGAGGGGGAAGCTCTTGTCGCTTGCCAGCTTGGGAAGGGACCAGGGCGATGCCTTCAATAGGTGTAAACAGGGCTCTTTTTGTAGAAAAAGCCCAGTAGGAACTCATTAGCATAATAGGCCAACCCAACAGCAGGAACTCATTAGCATATTGGGCCACACCCCTGACAGCACAGCTCATTAGCACATTAGGCCGCACCCCCATGTTACCAGAAGTGTGGTTATCCAGCCACACCCACCTTTTGCTT